AGGGTGGTCCTGGGAACAACAGCAACGCCCCTAAATATCTCCCGATGAGAGGCTTTGCTGCCGGACGTAGTTTACCCAGGACGAGTTTTTCTTTGGAGGTATTTAGATAAATGCGTGTTTCATATATATGAATGCTTACATCCAGAACCATAGGGGCCCTAAGCCCTTAAAATATTTTCGGGCCCCCATACATCTGTGAGTTAAGTTTGCGAGTATGGAGTCTTGGTGAGTAGGGCAAATAAAGGATATCAACTGAGAACATGCTACGTGGAAACACTAGCTGGAAATAAATATTGAAGTAAATGAAGGCACATATGATCATCGAGAGAGGCTGATCATCAGTTCTAACCCAGAACAACATTAAACAAGAAAGAACCAGTCACAGCTGAGCAGCTACTGTCACGTGAGCAACAATCAGATTCTAAAAGAACTGTGACCAGAAGTGTCACATAAATATATGGTTAGCATAAGGTCAAATGAACATGAAGGTGTTCTACTCCTGTTCACAAAAAATTAAATACCAGTAAGTTAATTCGTAATACTAACTTATTCAAGAGAGTTGATGTGATGTATTGAGTAAATAAAAACCTCATTATCTCCCTTAGGTCATTCCCTTATTAACCAATCAGAATGGCAATAAAGAGTCACTGCGGGTCAGTTGTCTCCTCGTTCATATTGGCACACCGTTGGTTCAAATCTCAATCATGTTAGACTTATTTTTTTAGACATATACAACAACATCATGTTACAATTTTAGTGGGGCCATCTTTTCTTGATGCCCTAAGCACATGCTTATTTTGCTTAATGGCTAATCCAGTCCTGTTTGCATCATGTAAAAACTTATTTAACGTATTCATTTTTACCACACAAGAGGTGAGAGAGTCTATGTTTGTTTGATGAAAATCTTTATAAGCAAAAAATGAAGTAGAGAATTTAGTTTTTGTCTCGGGTCTATTTTTCTTCTATTTATTATCTCGGCAACATCAAGTCACACCATTTTTCTTTGAGAGTTTCTTGGCAGTATTAATAATTACTTTTACAAAGATGTTTTGTTGTTAATATTTTTGTTCATGTATTACTGATAATATTTTTTTATGTAAAAAAAAATATATTGTTGGTAAATTTTATTTTTAACAAAAAATATATTCATTATTTACATTATTCGGACTATTGTCCTCATCTTTGTCGCCATATTTATCGCAACGTTTCGGTCGTTGTACGCTCCGGCCTTCTTCAGGTGGTTGGAATGTCGAACTGAACCCTTTATTTCGCTCACCGGGGTAGACTGAAGGCCGGAGCGTTCAACGGCCGAAACGTTGTGATAAATATGGCGACAAAGATGAGGACAATAGTAAATAATGTACATCTCATCTAAGAAATATAGACAGACTCCAAAAAATATATTACTGGAAATATTTTCTTTTTAAAAAATGTAATACGTTCACTATGAAAATATATTGCTGGCAATTTTACTATAAAAATGAATTTTTCATACTTTCATAGGGTTTTGACCCCAATTTGGGGGTTAACTATTTGCCCTAACAGTTGGGACCCTAATGGTGGCTCTGGGAACAACATCAATTAAGAGGTGATTCCACGCTCCCCAAAACCTTCTGATCAGAGGCCTTGCTGCCGGATGTAGTTTATCGTCATACCAAGGACGATTCGATGGAAGTGAAAACAGGAGAGTAGATAATATAGACAAAGTGCAAAGGGTTTCATTTGGGGCAGAACATTTTAATTGCATTGCCAGGCCAGAAGCAAAGAAACCCATAAAAATACTTGACGATGCCGAGATTTTCAAAACATTTGGCCGGAAAAGAGACGAAATGAAGTGAGCTAACGGATTCTCTACCCACACAACCATTACGTAGATTTAGAAATAGTAGGAAATGATCCAGTCATTTAATATTAACTAAATACTAGCCTACCTAGGGAAATGACTTTTTCATCGATCTCCACTTAGAACATTTTACATTTATGCTAGTGTTCCTTTAATTTTTCAGCTGGTTTGCAATGTATTCATACGGGACTACCATCACTTGCCTCCTCACGTTCTCTTTAATCTCGTCCACGGTCTGAAATCTTCCTTTCAACAGTGAATTTTGTTTTAGAAAATAAAGGAGATAAATTTGGTCTGTAGTAATCTTAATAAAATTGGATGAGCCGATATTTTGCCAATAAATAATGGACACTACATTATTTGGACTATTGGTCTCAGCTTTGTCGCGATATTTATTACAACGTTTCGGCCGTTGTAAGCTCCGGCCTTCTTCAGGTGGTTGGAATGTAGAACTGAACCCTTTATTTCGCTCACTGGAGTTGACTGTTCTAGTTCCAAGAGCCATGTTTAATGGGTGTCAGTTATCAGTTATCTCCTGTTAATTTCCCTCTGAAAGTTCTGCACTGTGTTAACCGGGTATTGAACTCACACTCTTTGAGTCCTGTCACTGGATCTAACTAACGCCTTTATCCACTGTGCAATGTGTCCTTGAAATATAGACAGTCGAGATATTTGTATCTCTACCTTTATTGCAGTCAATGTAAGTTCCGTGATTTTCTTTCAGTCCTGCACGGCCATTCTTCAATTTGCATTGATTGCCGGCTGCATAGTCAACCTTTTCAATTAATCCTGGTGGCAAGGCTGCCATTCTGGTAAGTGAACCGCCTATTCATCGGTAAAACATGTCTATGCCGTTAATTGTCCTTTTTTTATAAGATCAGAAAAGATTTTTATAAGATTGAAAAAGAAATTAAATAAACATATCTATCCGAGCAACAATCAGATTCTAAAAGAACTGTGACCAGAAGTGTCACATAAATATATGGTTAGCATTAATTTCTTTTTCAATCTTTTTATTGGCTGAAAAAACAATTTTATTCTTTTTTTAATTTACTGTTTACTTGTTTTTCAACGTCGTGTTTTGAACTGGAAATTATTTCTCTGTTGTGTTTTTACTAATTTTATTTATTTTCCAATGCCAGGTTGTCAGAGTGTGAAACAACGTAGGGATGACTTTTATCCAGACCTCCAACCCCGCTATGTTTATTTTACATGAAAGCAGGACCTCACAGGTAGAGTGAGGGTCACTATATAAACTTTCTTTTAATTTAAACGATATTGAAACTTGTTTTTATCTGCATGGTGGCTAAGGTATTTATATAAATTTTATTGAAACTATTACGCAGTGGCGTAGATTTGAAAATATGCCCGACTGGGGCAAGCATACAATATTCTTTCTCAGTTGAAATGCTGGCGCCGTACATTACTCCCCATTTTCATTCTGTAACAAACTAAGTACTTAAATATAGGTACGACCAATAATTCGCTGACAAAAGAAAATATTGTGATGAAAAAATGCCCAAATTTGATAAATAACAGTTTTATCGTGTTTAAGTGTGTGTTATGATTAAGAGGATATATGAAAGTATTTTTTCTTATCTGTCTATATATCTGAGATGAATATTACGATTACTTGCATTATTTAGATTATTCGGAAAGTTATCCTCATATTCATTGCCATATTCACAACGTTTCGGCCTCTATATCTCTCAGATGAGGTATTATGATTACTTGCATTATTTACATTGTTCGGACTGTTATCCTCATCTTCATTGCCATTTTCACAACGTTTCGGCCTCTATATCTCTGAGATGGGGTATTATGATTACTTGCATTATTTACATTGTTCGGACTGTTATCCTCATCTTCATTGCCATTTTCACAACGTTTCGGCCTCTATATCTCTGAGATGGGGTATTATGATTACTTGCATTATTTACATTGTTCGGACTGTTATCCTCATCTTCATTGCCATTTTCACAACGTTTCGGCCTCTATATCTCTGAGATGAGGTATTATGATTACTTGCGTTATTTACATTGTTCGGACTGTTATCCTCATCTTCATTGCCATATTCACAACGTTTCGGTCTCTATATCTCTGAGATGAGGTATTATGATTACTTGCGTTATTTACATTGTTCGGACTGTAATCCTCATCTTCATTGCCATATTCACAACGTTTCGGCCTCTATATCTCTGAGATGAGGTATTATGATTACTTGCGTTATTTACATTGTTCGGACTGTTATCCTCATCTTCATTGCCATATTCACAACGTTTCAGCCGTTGTACGCTCCGGTCTTCTTCAGATGATTGGAATTTGGAATCGACCCTTTATTTCGTCCACCGGGGTAGATTGTTCTAGTTCCACGTGCCACGCCTCTTCCGGATGTCTCAGCTATTTCCCCTTAACTCAACTCTCTAATTTCTGGTTCATCTTAAGGCCAGGGGATAAAGACGTGATGTCATTTGCGGCTGCGTGCCAATGTAAATTGCTTGGCGTGCCGCGTGTGGCACGCGTGCTCTAGGTTGTCGACCTTTGACTTAGAAAAATGGTTAAGAATGTCTTCGAGCGAATGAAGCTTCCATGTCGTAGCGAGGACCATTCGAAATTCTTCGAAATTTAATATGGTTACTACCATTTTTTTCTTCCTCCTCTTCAACATTTTTCGATGCGGTTCAACAATACCCTGGTCATTTAGGTAACCCCACCTCTCGGGCCATCAGTCATTTATTTCTGCTTCCTTTACTTCCATTCTTAACAGTGTAAAATGCTTAATAAAATCGGGAAGTATTGGAATGAGTTTTCACATAACTGAAGAATGTCCGGATAATTTCAATTTTCCTCCTCATTTCATATCTGGATAAATGAAGTCCGGAAAATCGAGGTACGAATAATCGAGGCAGTATTGACGTCACTTAAGATATTTATCAGCAGGAGCGTTGATATTATCTTTAATCCTTTCCTTACCGTTCCATTGCTCTAACCATTGAACGGAAACCTCAAGTACAAAGCGCACTGCGATATGTGTGAAGGGGAAGTGCATGCGTACCTAGAAATCACCGAAAAGAGCCGGAATTCACCGAGAAGTGATTGGGATATTTCGGCAAGTAACGAATATAGCATTATTTCTATCGAGCGTTTTGATTACAAGGTTTCTTCCACGGAATACAATCTGGTAAATCATCTCCCCCCCCCACTTCTCTCTCTCTCTCTCTCTCTCTCTCTCAGAATAGAGGAATGAAATGATCCAGGCTTATCGATCTAGTAGTGTGAGAAAGTAGGGAGCCAGTAAGAGATGGCGGTGGGAGTGCCAATCGATCGTTTCTGTTTACCTGACCAGACAGAGAAGCGAATAAATCATTTTTTTAAAAAAATCTCTACTCAGCCTCTGCTGATCCTAAAAAGGATACATTCTTTGGAATGATTATATTTTGAATGAAACACACATTCTTCAAGATTGTCTATATTTCTGAGATGAGGTACTGTAATATGAAATGGAGAAAGTCCGACAATTATTTAAAGACATTTTTATGTTTAACATTCTTTTTATAGATACAGTATAATCCGGATATAAGAGAAACCCGGATATAAGAGAGATTTTCTCTGGTCCCAAATTAGAGCCTGTGTTAATGTATATAAAATAGACCAAACCCGGATATAAGAGACTTCTTCTCCGGTCCCGACAACTCTCTTATATCCGGGTTACACTGTACACGTATTTTAAGTAAATGCTCTGTTTATAATAAACAGTATTAAATAACACTTACCGGCCTGAATGTCCGAGAAATTTTCATAGAAAATATTAGTCCTTCGACAGGATTCGTACCTGTATCCTATACGGAACCGTCATATAGCCTGATGTGCCTTACCGCTCGGCCACAACGAATCGTTCGGTTGGCGAGGTCCAATTTACTGCTTATAAACTTCAATTTTCCATGAATCTCTCACGTACATTCATAACTGCTTATCAAATGTAAATAAATGACGTCACAAATTATGAAATGGACAAAGTCCGACAATTATTTAAAGACGTGAGAGATAAATATTTAACCCATAGGTTAAGGGAGAAGAGATGGATTTATAATCTTCCCAATGATATTTGCGCGTAAGTGAATGTCACTTGACTGAAAATGGAACTCAGTTCTCTATGTTCTCATTTCGAGCTGCTACCCGCACATCCGCATTTACAAATGTAAATTTTGAAATTGCGTTCACGTCATTGGTATGTTCAATTTCCTTACCTTCTACATATATATATATATTAGGATTTTAATAAGACAACAAAAATACAGCTAATAAGAAACAAGCGTTTTTAGCGAATATGAACAAAACGTGTTTTGCCTAGCTATAGATCGAATAGGGCAGTTGACTAAGCTGTCTTGCCCTGGGTTGCAGCCAGTCTAGGAGAACAAAAATTATTAATTAACCCTTCGCTACACAATTCCGGTTTAGGACCCTGAGGTGAGATGAATGGCTTACGTTAAATCCTGTAGCTCCGCAAGTATCAAATCGTATTGCTATATTTTTTCTTAATGATTTCGAGCTTCTATCAATTACACCACCTGCACATCCGCATTTAAAAATGTAAATTTTGAAACTGCGTTTACGTCATTGTTATCTGGATTTTTTTTTTTTTTAATTTTATGAATTTCTAAGAAAAATTTTATACATTTTTAAACATTAGGGGATACTAATTATTCATCTTATCATTAAGGAAGAATAAACAGATATATTTTTATTAATTTATGTAAATTGTCGTTTTTTATATTAAAATCTATATATCCATTTGTTCTTTATTCAAAAAATTAAAAAAAAACCAAACCTTTTTCCATTGTTACCACAACGTTTCAATTCTTGTGACCTCCTGTCATCATGAGGTGTATATCAATCGGGATAACGTACAGGGACTTCTGAATTAAACACTTTATTTAATCTACACGTTTAGAATCTTTTCATTCTACTGACCATGTCTAAGGATATCTCGTCTAGTTCTTATTTTTGGTAATGCTTTAGACAGGAGCATTGAAACAAGAACAGTCTATCCCGTAGATTAAATAAAGGGTCCAGAATTCCTTATAGGTTACCAAGATTGATATATACCTGACGAAGTCCAGAGAGCACAAACGCCGAAACGTTGTGATAATAGCAACAAAGATGAAGACAGTTGTCGGAATGTAAATAACGTTATCAATGATAACTCCTCATCCCAGAAATTCGGACGGAAGACGATCAGGTGATAATAACAACAAAGATAAGGACAATAGTCCGAATATAAATAGTGAAAAAAATGATAACTTCGTATCTCAGAAATTCAGACAAAAGGCGATCAGGTGAAAAAAACAACAAAGATGAAGACAACAGTCCGAATATAAATAGTGTAAATAATGATAACTTCTCATCCCAGAAATTCAATGGGAGGCGATCAGGTGATAATAACAACAAAGATGAGGACAATAGTCCGAATATAAATAGTGTAAATAATAATAAATCCTCATTTCAAAAATCCTAATTGAAATCTTTTTTCTTACGCAGGTAAGGTAAATACTGGAAAGGGATTTTATACTTTATTGATATTGTGATCACACTTCTAATTTTTTTTTTTTTTTTTTTTGAAATCTTCGTCGATTCTGATTAATACAGTGTGTTGAGGGCGTTCTGAGGAATGATCATCCCTAAAAAACTATTTCCTGAAATTTTTTCTCTATTTTTTACGAGTGGACCAGACTACTTAAGTAGTGTCGATATATCATTTTAGTGCTAAATTTCTTTTTCATATATTGTCTTAAGTTTCTTTCCTGGATATTATTGGAAAATAAAACTGAAAACAAAAAAGGGCGTATTCTGAAAAACAAAATGAATTAAAAGACTGATATTAAAAGACGAATTTGTTAGTTTGAAAAATTAAAATATTCAAAAATGCGTTTCATTTTATTTTCAGCAAACAAAATAGTTTTTAATTTCACACAAATAAAACTAAAACCAGAAATTCGTTGTAGCTACTTGACAGACAAATTCATAGAGTTTACTTTAATAATCATAAAAATCTGACATAGTAATGGTAGAATTAGCTGTTTCCTTATAAAGAAACATTTGGCATTCATTGACCGAGCGGTCAGTACTGCTTTCTGTTGGAGTTTATAAAATCTTTATCTTAAAACATTTTTTTAGGAAAACAGTTTTTTAAAGTCCATTAGATAGGGGTTTCCTTCCTAACCTTTTATTTGAAGTCGTGTAGAATGTCAACATGTTGATTATGCCATTATGTTCTTTTCGAGTTACATTTGCTATTCATTTTCGTTGTTGCTGCTGTGGGTAATCCTCAAATAATGCGGTTTCTGCTATTTGTTACAGTTCTTTCTTTGTGATTGTGTAACGCCAACTCGCAATGTTTAAAGAATTATTCTCTTTGCTTCAGGCTTCACTCGCTGAAAGCCTTTTGTGAGATATTCAAAGACAACACAGTAATAACGGAGGGTTAATAGCATCCTGGGAATTTTGTGAATATCTAATACACAGCAAACTATTTTTCTATTTTTCTTAAATTATGTGAGAGAGATATAAAAAAAAGAAACAATTAGCTAAGTTCACCAGATAAAGTGTATTCTTGTTTAAGTCCAAAACAGGATCTACTGTAATCAAGTGTCGATTGGACGCCATAAAATAATATAGAATTAGGAAAAAAAATAACTGCAAAATAAATGTGTGTGCATAATCGGCGCCCAGATTACCCGGAAAAGGTGGCTGCAGACAAGAGTGAACTCACGTGTTCGGCAACCACGTGGCGTTTTACAGACCTCGACTGCTCATTTTCAGACGTCGATGCAAGGTCCGCCTCGACCGACAATAAATGGAAGAAGAAATGTTGAGTACCCCTTGGCTTTGTTCCATTTTAGGAAAGGATGACGTGAATAGTGACAGCTGACCGGAATTTGGTGATGGCGGCGATTTCTGGAACCAGTGGGCCGAAAAGCGTCTGGCAATTAAGAGAAAATAACGCGCGCTGATTATGGCGAGAAACTGCCGAAATAAATGAAGGTGAAAAAAATTACATGACGGTCGGTCTTGTAGAGGGTACGAGAATAAAGGAATGAAGAAAAACAAGGTAAAGTCAGGTGAAAAGAAGTAATCACAGTGGGAGGTTTTTTTGCGGGGGTACTTTTCTGTTCTTATTTCATGTTTTCCACCTGCCTGATTTTCTGGCGTTTATTTCAAAGGTTCTTTTTGCACATAACTTTTTTTTTTTTTTTTTGGTCCTGGCCTGATGTCTCGGTTTTAACACTTTTCCACCGATTTAAAATTGCTGTGCCTTTTCTACAAATACTTTTATGGTAATTGCTTGGATAAGTTCTTCGCTATGGTCTCTAAGTTTTATGAATTTAAGCGCAGTACTTGATTGGTAATAAGGTTTCATCATTTTACAGTTAAAATGGCTAGATGTAACCTTAATTTGTATACTAACAGTTTCTTTACTCACATTTCTTGCTTGTAGAACTATCTTCTGACTCCATGCATTCCAGCCACCTTGGTGGATTCGGGGAGTCTTTCTTTTCGGGTGTGATTTTCGTATTTGTTATTTGAATGTGTTTGAGTCAGTGCTTGGGATCAATGAATGTTTTATATTATTAAAATCCCACATTGATTTCGTCCAGTTAACTGATACTTCTGCCACATTTAAGGATTGTGGTGAGGAGGTTATTACTAATATTATTTTGTTTGGTTTCTTGTATATAGTTTTGTTTCACATTTGTAAATATTCATTGAGGTTTAGATTTTTTTTTTAATTATTTTATCCACCACCCAAACAACGAATTCTACATATGGGGACTAGTTAGGACTTCATAGAGATTCCGAGGTATTATGGTGGATGAAGTAAGGATGATAAGTAAGAATGCGTTGTTTTGGTGTTAGGAATATTGTGGTACGTATCGGTCAGTGTTTGTGGCTAGCTAAGTTTAATGTTAAGAGAGAAGACCTCCCTTTTAGCCCATTACGGTTTTTGGTCATGTGCTACATTTTGTAAATATTACAAATAAAAATGCTCTTCGCTATGGTACCTAAACTTTATGAATTTGTACTTTCCTTTTCTTTTCTTATTTCATGTCTTCCATCTGCCTGATTTTCAGGCGTTTATTTCAAATATTCTTTATACACATAACTTCTTTTTTTTTCTCTTTGTCCTGACCTGGTGTGTGTCGCTTTCAACACTTTTCCACCAACCTTAAAATTATTTTCTTTTGCCGTTTCTA